CAGTTTGCACACGTTTTGAACGGCGTGCTGGTGTTTGTTGTGTCACACTTGGCCGCGGTACATTCCATTGGCGTAACAAATCATTGCTCATTCTTTGTAATCGAACAACTGGCTGATTGTTCGCTAGGTTTGAAACCTATAGAGACAAAGGAAAATAAAAAAAATTGCATTAATACGTAGGCGACTATTTAAGTTTCTTCAATATGTATGTTTTAGTATTGCCCGATGCAAACCATTGTCATATTCGTGAAGTTGGACATTTTTCATGACCATTTGACTTAACAGGACGAATTTTAGTTTTGTGGTATGGCTACGACAGCAGCTTAAACATGACACTCCAAAAAGTGCACTTTTTTGAATATGCACCTAATTTCAAGTACGAAAAATATATTGTATCCAACTGATTTTGGTCTCTGGTGGACAGAGGGGTCCCGAATAATTCGTACACGGAGTATTGTGCATCAATTCGATCTTTTGGGTGGTCAAATAGTCGACTGTTTGATGGGCTTCTTTTTGCCATGTTTTGGGATTATAAGTTTCAGAGTTTTGGTCTCCATATTCCCGTGATGACTTTTGACAATCAAATGGTTGTGTACTATTCAGCATTGAAGGACCTTTCATCCTCTAAAGGCATGGTAGCAACATGACACATAACACTGTAAAATAATGAGGTCCGATTTTCCCTATCACTTCACAAACGAACAACTTTTGTTCGATTGTGTTCATGTTTGAAGACTCAGAGAGTCAACCAAGTTTTTGTTTCAGGTCCAAACTACTGGAATCATGTCTTGGCTTCTATTGCGATCGTATAGACGTGTTTTTATTATCCTATGTCAAATTGGTTATGATTTTTTGGATGTGATTAAAATCAATCGATTTTTGAGCAACTGTGGGTTGACACGTAAAGATTTATTTTTTTCATGTTGTAATTCATGGAAGAACCAAATGATTGGAGTCTCTGTGATCCTTGGGCATACCACAATTTAACTGTAAAAGAAACTTCGATCCTAACTCAATCGGCACCAGAGTTTTTCTCGATGACATCAATTTTCGAAGGACCATCGCGCAATTGATCACTGTAGCGAGCACCATGACGATGGGATTCAGTGAACCAGTTGTATACAGTGGCAAGGCATGGTACTTCCTTCCCATACCCCGACTTGAGTCGGAAGTAATACTGTTGAGCAGGCAGCTCTTTTTGAAAACTTATGAGAAATAATCTTTTTTGTAAATTTCATTTTTTTGCGAAGTTGACCTTTTCCAACTGACACCGTGGCCATACCACAAAACTAAAATTCGTCCTGTTAAGTCAAATGGTCATGAAAAATGTCCAACTTTACGAATATGACAATGGTTTGCATCGGGCAATACTAAAACATACATATTGAAGAAACTTAAATAGTCGCCCTCGTATAATGTATACAATTATACATATTGGAAATTTAATTAAAAAAAAATGAAAATGAATTTTTTTTACCGAATTAGATGGCTGTGTAGTCCGTCTTATTTTTGCCGCTAATGGTTCATCGTCACTACTATCTTGTGGCTGAGAAGAACGAGCGACAGACGGTACAGTTTGTACACGTTTTGAACGGCGTGCTGGTGTTTGTTGTGTCACATTTGGCCGCGGTACATTCCATTGCCGTAACAAATCTCTGCTCATCCTTTCCAATCGAACAACTGGTTGATTGTTCGCTAGGTTTGAAACCTATAGAGACAGGGGAAAAATAAAAAAAATTGCATTAATACAATGTACACATCAATAAAATATGCTTTTGAAAAAATGACAACAATAATTGTACAAGTAAAAAAAAATTCAAATGTACTTACCACATTTCCGCGCTCCACCCCACATTCCTCGTCTCCATCATCGTCGTCACCACTTGATGTGTCGGACATATTGGGCCTGATAATGAATCAATATTGAAAACAAAAAAAAATTACAAAAAAAAATCGAAAAAAAATTCAATTGTATCGAAGCAGGCCATAAGCACAATATTGAGAAACTACGACGCATTGCTAATGCCCTAACGGTTTTGCATTCTGTATTGTGCGCAATGCTAAATTCATGTTTGAACATGAATTTGTTCAATGGAACTTGCACACTTGCTTCGTCGGCTAAGATTTACGGTTAAATTGACTTTTTATCCACGTGCAGTGTGCAAAATTGACAAAATTTATTTTCTTGATTTTATTTTTCCAAAACACTCACTAAAACAAATGATGCAAAATTTATTTAGGCGACAAATATTCATTTGACATCATTTTATATACAATATATAAATATATTTTACACATCAAATATTTACCGGTATTGAGGTATTTATATGAATTTATTTTTTATTTCGTCACCTTTCTTTTCAAATTTTCACTTGGAAAAATGTCTCGGTTGAGTTCGTGTTGTAATTTAAAATGTACCAAGTACAAACACACTATTTTCTTAGAATAAATGAATTTTTATTACGCACAAAAATCGGCTACTGCGCGCATT